TGAAAGCAAAATGGTTTGTAGTACAACATCAAAGACAACTGGAATTCAGTGCTTTTATCCAATACAATTTAATTAATATTTTCTTTTATTTCATGAAAAGGCACCGAACCTAGCTATGACTACACAAATGGCAGAAAAGGCTAAGAGGTCTTGGGACATTTCGTTGTGCACCCAACTATCATAGGCGCAACAGGACAGGCTTATACAAAGGAGATCACGTTTAAGCTAAATAACATAACTCAAAATCTGAAAAGAACGCTACCCTAAACCCATTTTAACAACGCCCAAGACTTTACAAAAGACACAGCCAAGAGCGACCAGGATGAATGTTTGCCACTTCACTCCTGTCCATTTTCCACTAATACCTTTTATCCTACTGAATTCAAAAAGCAATAAAAAAACAGAGAGGATTAAAGATTTGTTAATCATGCCGGCTGACAGATCAGGCTTTGCTTCTCTTGTAATAGTTGCTTTTGCAAGTCAGATACGGGGAAAGCTAGGACACCTTCGTGTTGTTGTTGTTCCTACTCTGCTCTGCTGTCCTGCCTGTCCATGGGTTGGCAAGGTTGAACGTTTTAATATGGATCCCTTCTGCTTATTCGAGCATTGTAACAGAGCCCGTCTGTTGTAAGAAGGAAGGAAGGCCTTTGTAAAGTAACATTTCCAGTCTCGGGTCAAAATAAAGCAAAATCTCTAACATCACTCACCGAAAACAGTGAAGACAGTAAGTTTACTTCAGGACCTTAACCTTTAGGGAAGCTGCGCATGAGCCTTGTTGAAAGACAAAGACGCCACAGAGTTATAAAACAAACTCCCAGGAAGCAACGAAAGCTTTCCTAAACCGAGTGACATAACAGCAAGGCTAGAGGTGATTTAAGAAGATGATTAAACTTAAGCTGAACACTACACAAGGGAGACACCCGGAGCATAAAGACATTCACTTTACAGGAATTAGAAAATGCCCTCTCTCAAACAAGGAAAACTAGCTCCCTCTCAGTTCTGAGGCTGTCACATACCTTTACTCGGATCAGCCAAGGGCCCAACTGTGAAAACAAAACCCTGGCCAGCCCTAAAACATGCAACTCCCAAGAACAGCACAAGCACTGCAAAAAAAAATGCTAAACCTGCAAAATAGCCCACCTGGGTCTGCTTTAAATCCGATAACATGAGGAAGGCACACCAGGTGCAGATCTGATCAATCTGACAGAACATGAAGATGTAATAATTGCAACAGCACAACTGAATCCAGCCTGCCTCCTTTTTTGCCCTTATAACCCCACACAGCTGTTCTCAAAATGGCTACATCCCCCCTCTAGCAGAACCACAGAACACAGTAAAATAAACTCAACAAATACATGTTCTCCCAAAATTCAACATATTTCAGCTGCATACTAGCCACAGACAACCGTGTTCTGAAGTCTATCCTAAAAAAAAAAAACACTTCCCACTAATCAACATTTCCTGACCTAGAAATAAAGTGCAGTCCAGAGTTGTGATCCCCAGTCCCGGGGGGGGGGGACGACTCTGCTGTTGCACCCCTGGGTGAGGTGCTGCACTTCACCCAGTCCGCTTCAGGAAAGGGAAGTTTGTTCTCAACTGAAGTCACCTTTCACCTTAAAAGACGAGGTGGGAAGTCTAGTTATAATTTCTTGAAGCCAAGGAAAAACCCGTCTCGCTGGTGTGTGCAGTGGTTTTACACTTCAGTATGCTTTCACAGGTGCCCTAAAACCGCTGCAGTACTGCACGAGAGCTCTGCTGCTAGGAGGAATTTCATCTAGGAACTACAGTAACCATGACAGCAGCCCAGCAGA